TAAAAGAAACTGAGTTAGTATAAGGTAAACATAGTACATACTAAGTAAACTGTTAATTTACTTTAAAATGGTGTGTATGGGAGGGTGGCAGGTGATACACTGAGAACCAACACGTCACCTATGTGATAGTCCTGCAAAAAAGGTCTAACTGAATCTAATCACAGAAACAACCAGATAAATCCCAACTGAAGCCTGCAAACAGGACTAGTCTGGATATTCCAAAATGTCAGTCATGAAAGGGGAAGAAAAGGACAAGGAACTGCTCCTGATGTAAGGAATTACAGACAAGGCAACTAAATGCAACCCCGGATTAAGGCATTGAGGCTTAAATTCATATTTAACATATTTATTGTTGTTGGAACAGCAGGGAACATCTGAATATGGACCCAATAGACAGTAACAAAGTTAACTTCCTTGTGCGTGGTGATAATTTTTTTGTTGTTACCTAGAATGCCCTTGTTTCTGAGACATAAAAGTTGTTTAGTGGTGACATGGCACGAAAAACTAATTTGGCAAATAATTATACTTGGTAAATCTAGATAGAGGCACAGTACAGGTGTTCATTGTACCATTCTTGGTTCTTTGCCTAGGGTTAAATTTTTTAAATTGTAAATGCGAGGACATTTTTTCGATTTTGAGTGAGAGATGTATCATAAATCAGTATGAGCAGAATGCATATAGCACATACCTACTTTAGTCTTTGCAATCATGGGCGAGACTTTTGAGGCTGTCATAAACACAACTGTAAAAGACTTTAACTCATACTTGCAGACTGACGTCAGATGCCAAAATTCACAAGAGATTACAGAACAGCACTCGGATTTTTTCATGACATTTATATTTAAATTTCCAGAAGGTTGTTACACATTTAAAGATAAGCTTAGCTGGTGATTCATTTATTCTATCAACTGACTTACCATATAGCTGCTGGGATAAGCTAGAAAGAAACCTATCAATATAAATTTGCTAGCCTACAAACCATTTCACAAGAAAGCAGCAGAAAAACTTAACCAAATCAAATGACTGTTTTTCCAGACAGAGGTTGATGAATTGCAGGAGCAGGATCCACGCTCCCTAAGGGACACCAAATGCCCTGGTTTATGCCTGTTGTTCCTCATCTTTTCTTATTCAGCATTTGTCCCAGGCAGGCAAAAGCACCTCCAATACAAATGTCTCAGTTTAGATGCTACATCACGCAGTACTACAGTGTCACCAACTTCTCTTATATGATGGTATTTAATGTTGGTTCAGAAAAACAAACAGCATAACCTGAAGCATGTCACTTGTGCTTTAGACAATATGACCTACATTATGGTAAATTCCTTACTAGAATGGGCACAAAATATAGAGAAAAATTGTTCTAACGTTTTTAGAAAGCAGAAACCAAAGCTATCCTTTTCTCTACTGTGTAATGTAGAATACAACACTGCACAGGTGTAGGGACAGTGGGAGTCAAAAGGCCTGTCACTTGTTAAGGGAATAGAACCTTGACTAGTTATTGGCTCTGTCTCAACCACAGCTTTCTCTTGTGTAAAATGAAGGGATCAGAATGCTGACTGGTCTCTACTTAATGTCATGGTCCAGCTCTAAATACTCAGTAATTCCATGGTTTTGGCCTCCAAAATGTTTTTTTTAATTAAATCAGTTGAGTTAGACTTTTTTATAACTAGAAAATGTTATTTATCTTCCTTCCCCAAACTCCTATTTCTGTTCTGACCTCTATTCTGTTCGGAGGCTGAGTGACTCTCCCATTCACCCAGGATGAAGGGCCACTTAGACTCCTCTCACAACTCATCCCTGGTCCCACTTCCTCAGTGACCTTTTCTGTCTCACCTTTTCTATCACCACTTCAATTCAGGTCTGCATCACCTTTTGCCTAGATCACTAGTTAAAATAGTTCCTCAATCTGATATTCAAGAACCTCTCCATCTGCCCCACATTTTTATGCCAACTGAACTACTCACTGCCATTTCAAAATTCCCTGTACTTTCTGGATTGTATGCCTTTACCCCTGCTGTTCTTACACTGCCCTTTTCTCTGCTTTTCAAAATCGATTCCATTATTTAAAGCTCAGTTCCAATGACACTGACATTACACCTAATCGTTACAGTTCCCTCTTTTCAGTGTCCATGATACTAACATAAAGAGACAATTTTACTGGCCAACAGAGGAGAAAGATAGCTTACCTAGGGTGGTAAACTAAAATTATCTCTTGCGCCAATTTTATTGATTTGTTTCCCTGGCACAGGGTCCTGAGAACTTGTAACTTAGCAGAGGAAAAGGAGAGTTTCTGGCAATACGAATTTGACATTTCAGATGCTAGAAGCCAGGGGTCCACACAATGGGATTTACACTCCCATGGTATTAAAAGATGTTTAAATTAATGGAAATTAATTTAACATTTAAAGATTTAACATTAACATGGTTATCTTCAGAAAAAATGCAAAGCTCTAGAACAGTGGTTTCCAACTGGGACAATTGACCCCCTCCCCCAAGGGGGGGTTCTGGCAGTACATGAAGACATTTCTGAGAGTCACAATTGCATGGAGAGTGTTACTGGCAGATACTAAACAGTCTACAATGCATAGAGCAGACATTACAAAATATAAATGATCTGATCCAAAACATCAACAGTGCCCAGGTGGAGAAACTTTGATCTAGAAGAACTGCATGTATTTGTGGTTTCTGCCTCCCCAAGATATTCAAATATTTCAAGATGAAAAAGCATGTCTCTAATCAGAGACAATACAGTCTGAAGCCAGACAGCTCCTCCAATTTCCAGTAGCATGACCCCCTGAAAGTTACTTAACCTTTTTGTGCCTCTAAGTCTTCATCTATAAAACAGGGATAATAAGAGCACCTACCTCACAGAATGTTCCAAGAATCAGATGAGTCCATTTAAAGTCCTTGGGAAAGTGTACCAGGCAGATGTAAGCATTCAATAAATTTAGCTACTTTCATTCCTCTCCTCCCTAGGGCCTAGTCTTGCATTTGGAACGTAGAAGATGCTCAAGAAATGTCTACTAAGTGACTAATGCCTGGTCTTCCTGGGGAGGGCACAAATAGGTAAAGATAGATAAATGCTCTTTATTTGGGAAAAAGGAAGCAAGAGCTAAAGGTGAAAGGAAGCATTTGCCCACCTACTCACATCTCTCCCTCCACAGAACACTTTCACCCTCTAGGAAATGTGCCCCTCTCATGGTCCTGAGGACACTATCCTGTAACCTCCTTCCTATTTTCCTTTTGGTCCCTTCTGACCAACTGACGATGCTCATTCATAATGAGATGGTGTCCTGTTTGGATCCCTACCATCATCTACCCTATATTACTTACTTATGGACTTATTGTAGTCCTCCTGGTAGACTGTACAAGCTTTCCATGGCTAGGGACAACACTCGACTCCTTTTTATATAACCCAAGGGCCTACAGACCTCAGCAACTGTCAGACCCACGCCTGTCGTTTTATACATGAGGCACAGAGAGGCTAAGTGAACTGCCAAGAGTCAAGGTCATATTTTAGTGGTAGAGTTAGGATTCAAACTCGATACTTAGCTGATACAGAGAATCCAAGTTCTAGCTAACTGACTGTAATCACATATGAAAACTGTTTCTGCGGTAGAGACCACTTTTTAATTAAGTCCCAGAAAACCTCTACAGGAATTATACTGATGGTTACCTGACAAAGCAAAAATGGAGGGAGAAATAGACCCCAACTCCAAGCTCCTTCCTGCTGCTGAAATTCCACCTTAAAAACTCCACCTGTTTTGTATCTTTAACATTTCCTTAATAGCTTTTGACAACAAAACTTATTTAAATGTCCAAGAACAGTTAAGTCAGCGATGTCAGGCTTAATTTCCTTTAAATGGATCCATAATTATTTTAAGTAACAGAAAATCTCTTATTTGGTAGTCAGGGACGCCCACCCTTCACCAACTGAACAGAATCTTGAATGATCACTCTAACAGATTCTTATCTCAAAAACTCCAAAGACCAGCCATCTGAAATGATTCTATATGGCAAAAAACAGCCAGGCAATTGGCATCGTGTGTTAACGTCAACATAAACCTAAACCTTACAATCATCAAGCACAGACTACACGAAGATCTGAGGCAGGAGGAAGGTTATTTTATTCTGTTCAAGTAAAACAACGCTGTTCACTTATTAGGTTAATCTAGAAGTTTCCCTGAGCGTCCCGAATGATGCAAAGGAAAGCAGCGAATAGGAAAGGAAAAGTCGGTAAGACAGAACAGTGAAAAGGAGCTACGCATGGGGCACTGACTGCTTTGACGCTTAAGCAATTACAGCTCAGTAAAAGTAAACAATTCCATAAACCTGATGCCATAAAAGCATCATTTAAAAACAAACAAACAAACAAAACACACTCCCTCCGTGGTGATGATTTCAGTTACCAGTGCAAAAGCACTCAAGCCCGGAGAGAATGATAACCACGTCTCAGGAACATATTTTAAATGGATTTACCAGCCTATGAATGAGCGGAGGCGCGACCCGTAGCGTCCAAAGAAAACAAAACGCAGTTTCTGCTCAGTGAAGTTCAAGGGCAAAACCGTTCCCGGTGCAACAGAACCCTCCCGACTACAGTGTTGGGGGGCGGGGGGGGGGGAGTGAACACATAGTATCTTTCTATAAAGACAACACTTTGAGTTACAAAGTAATAACGGGGAAGCCAAAACAGTTTGACAGCACGCCCTCGGGGCGGCCTCCGCCGTGAGTCACACAATGCCTGCACCGCTCGCCACGGTCATTAACGCACAAGTCCCTCATCCCAGGCTCCGAGGGGAGGACGCCTTCGCCAAGTTTACGGGGCTTGCTCCTCGCCGGCCCCCCATCAAGGCCCACACGCGCCATGACGCGGCGCCCGCAGCCCGCAGCCCCGCGGCGGCCCCCTCCCGGTGTGCGCCCTGCGAGCGGGGAAATGACACAGGGAACCCGCGGCCCCAAAGGCGCAGAGCGGGGCTCGCGGCGGCCGGCGCGCGCCTCACCTGCTGAGACTCCTCTCCACGTCTTTGGTCGCGTTAGCTTCCAATTCTCTGCAAAGAAAGAAAGAGGGAGAGAGGGACGCGCCTGAAGCGGGGCCGCTGCGGCAGAGGCGGCGGCGCGCCGGTGGGGGAGGGGCGGGCCCGGCGGCCGCGGGGCTGCAGCCCTCGGCGCCCAGGGGCGGCCGGCGACCCCCGCCGGCCCCGCGGCCGCCCGCGCCCGCCGCCGAGCAGCCCGCGCCCCCGCCCAGGCCCGCAGCTCGGGCGCCCGGCCCCCCGCCACCTCCGGTCGCGGGCCCTGCGGCAGCGCCCGCGGCTGCCCCGGCGGAGGAGGCCGAGCGCTGCTCACCTCATGTGTAAAGTGCACGCGCGAGTGGGGCGGGCGAGCGAGGCCGCGAGCCTCAAGCCCTGCGCAGCGCCGCGGGGACAGGCCCGAGCAGCCGCGCCAGCGCCATTTTCTACACCGACCCGCCGCCGCCGCCGCAGCTACCACCGCCGCCGCAGGCCCCAGGCCGGAAGTGAATGCCCTGCTCCGCAACCCCTTCCGGGGCGCCCCGCCAGCCGCCTCAAGATGGACGGCCTAGCAACTGGGCCCGCGCCGGCCAAGCCCGTGGCAACCGCCGGGGCGCGAGCGCTGCCCCCCGCGCGTCCCTCCCGCCGCCGGCCGGGCGCCCCGCACAGCGCGGGGCCGGGGTCCCGAGCCCGACGGCGTCGCCGCGCCGCTGCGATGTGACGGAGGCCTCCCCTCCGCTGCGACACCCGTTCCCTCTCCTGCGCCGGCCCCTCCCCCACAGAATCACGCCAAAAAAAAAAAAAAAATTTCCGAAACCGCGCATTCTGCCCCTGCAGCAGCCCGAGGAGCTGGCGCAGCGGCGGGGAGGTTTGACCTTGAGCGGCTGTTTAGCTCTGCGCCCGCCTCCGGCCGGGAGCGCACCCCCGGGCGCCGCGTGTCCGGGCGGCGTCCCACCCCTGCAGGCCGCGGCCGGCCCGGCGCGTGCGGGAGGCCCGGCCCGGAGAGCACGCCTCGGGTCTGCACGCAGTCCGTGCACAGAGGCAGCCCGGCCCCGGGGATGGCGGCGAGTCACTGTCAACGCCACCGTGTCCGGCGTGACGGGGGCAGTCAAACCTCCCCTGGTGCGAGGACATGGATGTCCAACCGCAGGGCACACCGACGAAAGGCTGAAATTCTGCAGCCCTGACCGCAACTTAGGTGTAACTTTAATCCATGCGCACGGGGTGGCCGTTGTGGGGTTGTTGGCAGCTGTCATTTTTAACTGGACGGGCCGAGGGGACAGCGGTCAGCGCCCCGACCCGGAGGGAAGGGATGCCCGTGTACACATTCCTGCGCGCCCGGCGGACGCTGCCCACACGCGGGAAACAGGAGCAACCGCCGGGGGGTGGTGACAATCGAGGGAGTGGGAAGGCCGCTCGCACAGCGAGAAACATACAGACGCCCCGGGGGCTACCGATGCGGACTCGGCAAGATACAGACGTGAGAGTAAAGTGAGAAATAAACCTACCTCCACGGAGATAGGGAAGCGGTACATACAAACCAGCAGGCGAGTGGCGGTAGGTGGACCAGGTGCACGCTTGCAGGTAGTTAGGCACATGCATTCGTGTGCTTCCTTCCGCACGATGCCTTTCTTCCGCTGAGCTTCAACCCGTTCTTTATGCTGAGAAGGAATGGGTTTCTTTCTCATCCCGTTTTCCTCTTTCTAAACTAGGTTCTTCCTCTGGCTTTAAAGAACGCCCAAATTTCTCCCATTAAAACGAAACAAGACCACCCCGACTGCCCAGTTCCTATCCTCTCTGGGGGAGATGTGTAATAAACAACTGAATGAGTGAATGAATGAATGAATGAATGAATGCACGAAGTCCTAAAACACGCCACCAAAATGTTAATTTTCTTTTTTTAATGTATCTGGTTTTGTGTGTGTGTGTGTGTGTGTGTGTGTGTGTGTGTGTTTTCTTTTTATACAATGAGAATGTGTAAAAAAACATTTTTTTAAAAATCAGGTTTAAAAATTGTAAAATGTAGGGGGCACCAAATAAATGCTAGTGACTTTCCTTTTCCTGCCATCGTCCCTACCCTCAATTCATCCACATATATGTTTACTTTAGTTTTCCTTTATGGTTACTTCTACTTAAAATGTTAAAAATTGCCCAGCAGTGTGGCTCAGTGGTTGCTCGACCTATGAACCAAGAGGTCCCAGTTCCATTCCCTATCATATGGGGCACATGCCCAGGGCACACAATCCCCAGTAGGGGGCTTGAGGCAGGCAGCCAACCAGTGATTCTCATCATTGCTGTTTCTATCTCTCCCTCTCCCTTCCTCTCTGAAATCAATAAAAATGATTTAAAAAAATACATATATTACAGTGTTTCTTGAGGAATTAAAAAATATGAATCACAGTATGCTTTCATGCCAGGCTTATGACTAATTTTCCACAACAGCATAAGGCAATGAAAACAGTAATACTGTCAACATTTGCACAGCTGTCAAATTTAGCTGACTTTTTAAAAAATTGGGCTTTTCTTAGCTTTGAATAACTCGATGTTTCTTTCGTTTAAATATGTTTTTATTGATTTTAGAGAGAAAGAGGAAGGGAGATGGAGAGAACATCGGTTAGAGAAACATGGATTGGCTGCCTCCTGCACGCCCCCTACTGGGGATAGAGCCTGAAACCCGGCATGTGCCCTGACCAGGAATAGGACCAGCCACCTTTCAGTGCATGGGAGGACACCCTACCTCTGAGCCACACCGGCCCAGGCTCAGGCTGGAGGTTTGACCTTGTGGACGAAAATAGATTTCATACTTTAGATCCACTGGAGTCACCATTTTCACTTTACTTGCATAACCCATTAGGAACAAAACCAGAAACAGAATCCTCGATGGAGTAATGGGTGTGAGTGAAAAGGGGCCGCATGCTAACCTGACTAGCTCAGGGGAGCCTAGGTGGCGGCCTTGCAAACTCAAAGACCTAAAGTAACCACAAGGGAGGGTCTGAAATTAAAACTTTTTAAACAAAAAAGCAGTTTATGGTGGGTAATCATGTCCTAGGCTGGCATCTTCCCTGACAAAGGTCACTCTTTACCTTAACTAAGCCTGGCTGTTGTCTTTTTGCATCTAAGATAACGTATTGTTGGAATGTCAAAGTAATTTCCCTTCTTCCGGACCCCTCAAAGCACAGTCCCCACAAATCTCTTCATTATTATTAATTGTTGACTGTTAACTATCCCGCACCCACCTAAGTCAAAGAAGTATGCATCTATCATTTTCCTTTGTATCCAATCCCAGACGTTTCCCCACTTTGCTTCTTCCCACCTCCCTAATCTATCACCAGTGCATTTCATGTAATCCATTTCTGTCTCCTCTTTTGATTGTAATGTATACAACAAGGTGCAAACCTACCGTTCTCAGGAGCCTCATCTCAATCCGTTGAGACTCAGCTTCCCGGCCTTTGTCGACAGTTTGGCTCAAATAAACTCACAAAAATTTGTCACAGGCTTAAATGTTCCTTACGTTAACATGGGTTTCATTAACACAGCTAATTTAAGTAAGAAAATACCATGTTCTACAACAAGCATATTTCCTAGATTAAATAAATGTTAGAATTTTTGCAGGCCTCGTGGTTGAAGTCTACAGTTACAGAATTTATTTTCTGTGGTGTTAAATGCTTTTTCAATAGTAACTTTGTATGGAATAGTTCAGGAAGGATCTATAACTATCCCAGGAAGGTCCTTGCTAGTTCTTATTAAGCATAATAAAAAACAGAGTCTGTACAAATGTAAATTTAAATAAGGCCTTTTATTCGCCATTTGTCTTTCTTTCTTGGGTGCTTTGTTCCTTTAGTTTCTGAAGTCACCAGGAAATAAATATTCTCCACCCCTCTCTTCCTTGTTCTACTGAGTAGAATAAATAAATGACTAGCCTGGTACTTGGGAAATTAAGTATTTGAAAGAAGATGCTTTTTTTTTTCTCCCAAGGTTTTACTACAAAATACCATCATGAGATATGTATGTATTTTTTAGGTAAAGCACACTCAAATATTTTTAAATTTAGAAGAATCTCCACAATAATGTATAAATGGAAATTGCATGAACATGAATGAAATTTCCTGGAGTGTGTACTTGTTTTAACTAAAACTTATCTGGTACTTAGGATGTGCCAGCCATACACTGTTCCCAGTTAAGTACTTTACAAATACGAACTAGTCATTATCATCGTCCTCACATAGTCCAATGGGTAGGAATGCTAACCCCCATTTTAGAGATGAGGATAATCAACTTGCCCAAAGTCGCATAAATAGTACAGTATTACCAGGCAACTTGGCGCCCAAGTCCAGGTCACTAACTACTACATTGTAGATCTCATTTTCTCAATCATATTGGACCCTTTACCCCTTTGAGAAATATTTTATAACACCACCCTTACTATCCCCAAATGGTAAACGTAGGTAATATATACTACCTAACACATAATTTCAAAATACATATAATAATGACTTATCTCTGATATAAAAAGAGGGTAAGATAAAAGTAAGTATAAAAAAATAAAATGCTGCCCTAGCTGGTTTGGCTCAGTGGATAGAGCGTCGGCCTGTGGACTGGAGGTTCCCGGGTTCAATTCCAGTCAAGGGCACATGCTCTAGTTATGGGCTCAATCCCTAGTAGGGGCGTGCAGGAGGCAGCCAATCAATGATTCTCTCTCATCATTGATGTTTCTATCTCTCTCTCCCTCTTCCTTCCTCTCTGAAATCAATAAAAAGTATATTAAATAAATAAATAAATAAAATGCCTTTCGCTAAGCACATGTGTGGGCTGGTCTGCGCTGGAAGCCTGGGTAAGGCAGGCAGATGCTGGCCCTTGGGTGGAATCCCCACCACAGATGCAGACCGACACACAGGGATGCATTGGTTATTCACAGACCAAGATTAGGTGATGTCAGAGGCGTAATTTCTCTGGAATATAGAACAAGGCCCAGTCAATTTCTTAACCACTAGGAAACAATTCTTCCTCCATTTATGTGCTAATTGCATTACTGGACATTTCAGGGTCTATTACACCTGCAAAAGTAAGGCATTCGGCCCTCAGACAATTGTAAGCACACCTTTCACCTACGTGAACGGTCAGTGACAGGGGCAATTCTCCGTTCTGTGGGACTATCCTTGTCCTGCACCCACAGCTCTTTGCATTGAATCTTAATAGCACCGCTGCCCCTGCCTGCACCCCGACGCACACAGTCTGTGGCAGCCAAAATCTCTTCAGTGGGTTCCCCAAACTCTCTGAGGAGTGGTGCTAAGGATTACTTTATTGTGAGCCATTGCCATGGAGCGAGACGCGTGCAGGAGCGAATCCTGAGAAGGTCTGCTACTCCAGTGCAAACTTGAGCAAGATGGGAAGGAAAACAGGGCAAGGAGAGTGTAGTGGGGCCAAATGATGCCTCCCAGACTGACACTGCAAAACACAGCCTCCTTATTCCTTCTCTGCTTCCTCCTCACCCCACACACAAACTTCCCTAAAGGGACCGTTTCCCCATCACACTCCTGTCAGTGATAACACTTCCAGTCACTAAGCTGCCCCAGCCAGAAAACTCAGAGTCAGTTTCCACTCTGCCCTCCACCTCATCCAATCCATCAATAAGTTATTTTGTCTCCAAACGTCTCTTTTATTCTTCCTTTTCTGTTTTACCACTGCACACTCTGAAAATGCCCCAGTTTCTCATTTCTTCCTCTTTTGTTGCTGTTGTGGTATGG